TTTATTGTATAGATTCAGGTGTGCATGCTACTTTCTGAAGCCAGACTATGTAGAAAACAATTGTAATGTACTTATATTACTAGCTTTTAGTCAATAATGCCACTTACATAAGCACCAGCCTTATCTTCCACATTAGTATACTACACTTATTGTAAGGCTTTTTGGAATAATTAATTATATTATTATTATATTCAGGCGTTACTTTGCGAATATCCATGTTAATAAAAATGGCAGTAAATTAATTTGCTACTCCGCAAACCCGGTGGAGGTTAAATCGAGCAAAATAAGTGCGCTTGTGCTGAATATTTGTTTCTTCAGCCGAGCGCCGAAAAATCAACAAACCTTGAAGACTTCTCATAGAGAGATGAAATACATGTCGGGTATATTTTTGGTGGTGGTGTTTCTGACTGGAGTTGCACTTGAGTATTTTAAGCGAAGGGAGGGTGGGAAGATTAACTGCATGAAAAGAACCTTCAACGCAAGAGCAGCTATTTCGCACGGTTTACTTTACTGAGTTCACGGAGTCACAAAGTAATTAATTTCCAATTTTATTAATGATATTTTTAATAATAAACTTTATAATTTATTACACAATGCCTTTATTGTATTCATGACCAGAAATTTGAATATTCGTGACAAACAAGACGCTGCCGAATTATTTATTATCAGACGGGTAAATCCCATATCCAGTCAAATGCCGCGATGTAATCCCATTCCGCGTCCTAATACCGTCTAATCTCGTGTCCCATCTGATGACGACATATTCATTTCGACAATAGGGTGTTCATATTAAATCTACGACACGTCTTCTTTACACAGGTCTGGTCGATCATCATCATCATTGGCCACTCTCAAAAATCGCCATAACGACAGGTCTTGCGCTGCTTGCATCACAATTTTCGTTCGTTTCGTTCGTTTGATCCCTTGCTGTATCTTTATTACTCAAGCTTTAGTTACGACAATAATGTATAAGATATTTAAGGATTCACTCTATAAATCATACTCTTTAGAAACACGATTACTAGTAGTTTCCTCAATAGGAAAAAAATCCGAAGTTGTCTCCAAAAAAACAAAATAAACCGTTAGTACGACGTCAATACTTCACGGAAGGTCATCAGTTTTTTAATAATTAAAGATTGGGGAACTTATTAGCGATAGACAGGAGGTAACTTATGGGGTACCGCAGGGTAGTATCATTGGCCCTACTTTGTTCTTAATTTACATCAACGAACTCTAACTTACATCTTCATCATGGTAAAATCGTGACTCTCGCGATCAACTCGAGGTCAACTCTCGAAATATTATTTTTTGGCATACATTGGAATTATACCTTTTCCAATGCCCAGAAGCTTTTATAGAGTCCACAAATGGCTCCGTAGAATCGTCCTTACTTTAAACGTGGATAAAATAAAATATACAACTTTTGGACTTTAAAAAGTCTCCTACCAAATCCGTCCCTCTCCATAGTGCCGCATTCCATAAATAAATAAATAAATAACGCACACACTCAACATAGCCCTAGGGAAACCCTGTGTCGCGGGTGCCATGGACACACACATAGACAACCACAAATTACACCCAAACTCACGAGAGAAATAATTGTGGGCCATACAACTATTTCTCCCGGCCCGGGAATTGAACCTGGGACCTCTGTGTGGCAGTCCGTTCGGCTACGGAGGCAGTTAATGTTCTAACTGAAAAAAAAAATGCGACTCCACTGCGACTGTCCTCCCCTTGTGAGAACTTCCACAGTTAAATATCTTGGCATCCTAGTTGACGAAAAACTAAGCTTCAAAGAACACATGAATATGTTATCTTCTAGGTTACGAAAAATCATATTTATATTCAAAAATCTACGACACGTTGCAGACCGCAAAATCATTAAATCAGTTTTTCTTGTTTTATTTTAGCCACCGCACTTAAAAAGCATTCTCGACTTACATATAATCCAGATAACCTAGTTGGTAAACGAAGGAAAAGTGCCGTCTGTGTCAACAAACCTTGCCGTCTAAGTCTAGCCTAGAGGTTTTATTGCCATCTTTTTATAGGCTACTTATAGGCAATCGATTATATAATAAAATCAATAACAGCACAACATATCACCCATCAAGAATCACCTTTAAGAGAGCAATAGTAAAGTGGCTTAAGTCCCTGGACTATGACAAGAGTGAAAACCTTTTGCATCCCACGTTATAATTAAAGTATTGATCATACAATTACCCACCCAAATACAAATACCCACAACACACGCAAGAACAGTAGCTCAACGTCTCTTTTACCGAACTACACATACCGATTTATTTACTTTCGATATTTTCTTGTATGAACTTGTATCTCAATTCTCATTCTTTCCAAAAAAATTGTAGTAATTTAATTTAATTTTGTAAATTTAAAGTAATTAATTAATCACAATGCTTTTAAATCCATTTTACTGTTGATTTACTGTACCTACCTAATCTATGTAAAATTGATTATAACATAAATGTAAGAATTGGGTCCTGGTGACCTGTAATACAGGCATTGTTGTGCCCACCTCAGGCACCAGTCTCTCACAAATAATGTAGAAACTCTTTAGTCAGTAAGCATTTATACAACTTACCTTGTATGTTGAGAGAAAATAAACAAATTTCTATTATTATTATTAATAATAACAAAAATATATTTTGTCTATAACGTATACTTCGTACATTTTCAAAATATGTATTTGTTTTAATAACACGAAGGATATACCTAAATTCGCACTACATACTAGCCAGATCCGCCACGCTTCCCCCGTGTCCGCTTTAGTCTTGCAGCAAGACTCTTGCTTCGACCGTCACACGTGGAAGTTGTATCACTCGGGCTTACACACGACTGTAGAATCGTATGCCACACGCACACGTACACAGAGCGCATAGAGTACCAAAAACCAATTAGCGCCAGAAGCTCGGTGATCTTTTAAGTTTTGCAATTCTTTGGACTATGTTGGTTATTCTAGTTCTTTTGCTTCGAATGACCTTGAGCCTCCTTACCACCATTCTTATAACCACGTCTCAGCGCCGTAAATTGTATTACTTGGGTCTAAAATACCTCGCTATTAATAAGACCAGGTACGGTTTTGCTAAGACCAGGTACCTACGTATAACAGGTCAACACACTATATGTACATACGTCTCACTGCTAGTCACGTGTTTTCTCTAAGAAGAGTATTTAGACCTTGGTCCGACACGCTGGCCCAATGCGGCCACTTAACTTGTTTATTTTACCTTTTTATTTTATTTATTTATAAAAACACAATATAAACTTACAATTTTAGTAGCACCTGTAGTACGGTACTGCCACCTTACCTATTTCTGCCGCCAAGCAGTAATGTCAGCATTACTGTGTTCCGGTTTGGAAGGGAAGGGTGCTGGTGAAATGAAAGGCACGTGGGACTTGTCAACTTAAGTCTAAAGGTGACAGGCGCAGTGGCTGTGCGCCTCAGATCTTTGCGATTTAAAGCTCTGAGTGGCACTGCAACTGTTGTGGACAGGGGTGTAGCTTAACACCAGACACACGACTTGTTGGTCGCGTCACTTGATATTTTAAAAAAGTAATAAACTAAAACGCTTCCATGCTAATTACTTATATTACATACATATTTGACAGCCTAGGTTTGCTTCACAATTCGTTTGCTAATGCTGTCGTAAAAGATGTCAGTCTCCTGGTTCTCAGCTACCAGACAACTTAGCAACGTAAGCTTATGTTTCGTGGGTGCATTGTCAGCATGGTAAGTGGGCACGGGGGCAAACAACTGAAATCACCGATGCTGACCTTCTGATGCGACCCTCCGGACATACTTATTTGGCACAAACACATTGACATTGCTCAGTGTTCCGAAGTTCTCCACCTTACCTCGCAAGTGAAATACGTAAAGGAGTACGGTTCAAACTTTACGTCTTACCTCCTAGGTGTAAAGACCGGCCGACTTCACACACCAAGAGCTGTGAGCCTCCGTCGTTATGCAGGTTTCACCACGATATTTTCTTTCACCGTTAGCGAGAATTGTTGCTACTAAACTTACACAAACATACGTAACTTAGAAACTAAAGTCATATTTCGACCTCTCAATAAAGAAGCAACCGTTTTACCGCTAAACTACTCAGCTCTAATAATAAAATTCAAAAAAATCTTTTAAAGGGAAGGCATGATTGCATCCTGCATTTAATGGCTTTCTGCTTTGTAAAATACTTTGTAGTCAACTGTAAGCTAACGTCAACTAACACAGTGGCAGTATCTGTTTACTTTTAAATACAAGTAACAAAACCACTGGTTGTGTTAAAAAGAAGAAAAATGTCTGAAACGGCGCGTCGTTAAAAGGTTATTATAATAATTAATTTGAAGCCTTTTAAAGGGCATGCAAGATAATGGTCGGTAATTAGGCAAGGGCCAATCGAAAAGCGCCATTTTGAAGATTAATTTAACAATTCCAACGCCGCTTCTGTCTGTTTATACAAAAGACTCTAAATTGAGTTGTATTAGTAATTTTAATATAACACAGAGACGAATTTCGACAAACTTTCTATTTTATTTGCTAGGGACGACAAGTTCCTTTTGGACCCCGATAGTCAAACATTGAATAATCTTCTTATTCTTTTAAAGATTGATTTATTGGTGTCACAAGAAAAAAAATGTATGTGAGGTAAGTGACGCGCTAAAGCATACAAACAGTAAATGTTGTTTCAATTACACAGTTTCGCTTCTTATACTGCGAAAAGACCAATCAATAAATTGTTGCAGCTTGCCAAAATAAATTCGTGAATTTTGTGCTTAGAGCTATCCTTAAAAGCATTACGTATTGTGCGACGTACCCCGCTCAACCTCGTCTCAAATTACTAATTAGACGGGGAATTTCGGCTGAATTCCAGACACCATCCGCCAGAATCGGAAATCGGAAGAAAAGCGACCAATAAAATGCAGATTAGATATCTCTCGCTTTATTCTCAAACAAATTGGGGATTACATTTAATTTTGGCCTGAGTTCCTAAACGTTTTGTTACAGCAATGTTCTTCTTACGTTTTAAGAAGATTTACAAAACTTATTGCTAATAAATTCTTAAAGGCTTATATAAATCTGTGAGTACTATGAATCGTACATATTAACTCTAAAACAAAATACTAAATAATGGCAAGTACAATAATATTAAAAAGACAATGAAAACTGAGATAAGTAGAGCCAAACAACAATCAACTAAATATGAATTCAGAGAAAAAATAAAGTGTCACTTGCGAGAAATATAACAGCACAATGACATCAAAATATTGGTGATGAAGTAAATTGCTATCGGCAAGCCGCATGCGTACTGAGTAAGCATATTATTGGATATAGCTCAGTGCGGATCTAGTTGTGAAAAATTCACAAATTATTTTCCAAGTTATGTACTTAATAAAGCCATGTAATGCAAAATAACAATTTTTCGAGTGAGAAGTTAAAGATTCTATGAACGAAATTAGTTGGTAACTTTTTATACTTATATATTTAATTCACACAAATTGTCTTATGTAATTTGTATTATTTTTACGACTTCCAAGTGGTAAAAGCACTTTCGACGAACGACCTCACGTGGCTTTGTTATGCCAAGGGTGTACAATGTGAGCGTATAAAGCAAATTACTTTGAAGCCTACATAATCGGCATATTATTAGGCGTCTGATAATACTGCGGCGTTTCGTTCAACGTGGTCGCTCCGCAGACACACCCTCCAGAAACGAGCAGTAGCCTCCGCTTCTTATGGTGCCGCAACAACGACGGCACGTTGGTGAAGCAACGCTCGCCGCGTCGTGCGTAGCCCAGCGCGAGCCGCCCGTCGGGCCGGCGGCGGACGCCCACGTTGTGCACTGCGTTTGAGCATGCCACTGTGAGTGTGTATGCATGGTTTGGCTGAAACAACAATTTGCATATGTCATATTTCTGTTTTTCACTGCCGGGCGAAACTCGTTTTCAATGGATTCTATGCAACGATATTTATGTACTAGCGTACTAGATGCGGCGTTTCATGCACGCGCTGTGTTTCACTGATGTGCGGTGTGCGGTGAAGACGCTGCACATCATTTAGTTGGTTATCAAACATTCAAGATGACGGACGCAGATGCGGTCCTCTTTGAAATTTAATTTACATCGGTGTGTTCCTCACATTTCTCTATTTGACTAATTTAGTGAACATAAATTTAAAGTTTCAAATTATTCACATTGATTCGGTAAGTGATGTTGTGGTTTTTGATTAATTTGTGCATTATAATATTTGATAATCGCGAAATAGTATACAACATTTCACACTATCGATCTCGTTTTGCAAGTATGTAATGACGCGTGTTAAAACAAGACAAAACATAAATTATAGATTAATAAGCAACAAAGTGTTCTGACTACACAATAATAGAGTATGTATAATATAATTACAACAGTTACTAAGGTTACCATATGTACATTTAAAAATTATAATAGACCAGGCTGCATAATCTAATGATCGTTGCCTTTCTAAGGTAAAGTATATGTACTTAGCGTTGTATCAATATTTTCAACAATTCAACTGTATTTTTCTTTTACTTTTTTTTTCTTTTTAGTAATATAGTAATTATAAATAGTAAGCGGAAGGCCCCTGGGTCAAAGCAAAGTGAAATGTATTATGCAACGAATAGCGACTGTGCCAGGGGCTTTACTTAATGCCCCAACTATGGATAAATATCATTGGTAAACACTCAATATTGTCTGCCTGCCTCATTCCCCATAGTATAGACTGTTTGTCTGTCACCGTACTACAGTATTGATACTCTTGGATAAAATTCAACACTAAACAATTGAAACATGTCGTTGCTGTGAATGTTCTTGTCTATAGATTGAAGTCATTGATTCTTTGTAAATTTATTTATAACGCAAAACTATTTCTAAGGCGGTCATTTCTTAATTCACGTTGCTATGCAACTGTATCCGTTGCTCAACTGTATTCGGGGTACTGTTTAAATCAAACCGAACTTAATAAATTAAACTTCGTCTATTTCCTTATCTTCATTTTGTCCTTTCTTCTTTTATCTTTTTCTTTTTGCCATTCTTTCCTGGAATGTCTACTTGTTTGTGATCCAACGTTACTTAGCTAAAGAAAACTTTTGTAACACGAACCCAAGTTTATTAAAGGTGCGTCGCCTTTACGTACTTTTAATTGATCGCATAGCGATGGCGTTTGTTTGTTAATATTAGAAAAAGTGGGGTGGAAATTACTTTGGTAATTGTAACTCCAGTAGTGTGCGACCTCGAACCAAATCCAAGCAAAGTTTTTGGAGAAGCCTAAGTAAAATCATTATGTAAGTCCAATGATTCAACATACATAAAAATCTGTAAAGGGTAAAACACATTGTGGTGTTTTGTTAATTGTAATTTCAAAAGTGAAATTAATAAATACATTAAATAAATTAACTAATTAATTTAAACGTGTATCGTGTTTGCATCGCGTCTTTATCGCGTTTGCATCGCTGCTTAGGCTGGGATCGCACTGATACGGCGACAGCGACGCGGCGGCGGCGGCGACGCGAAAAAATAGGTGGCCACATTGCTAAAGCGAGAAGCCAGCGAAACACCGTCTACGTTGCTTAATCGGTGGCCGCACCGGGCAGATTAGGCGACCAGTGGCGGCCGCTGACTCGTATAGTTTACGTCGTGCGGTGTCTCCTTCGCAACTATTCGATCGAATATGACGCGCTCTTTCACACGAAAACGCCGCGAGGCAGTGCGGCCGCTTAGGTACATCACCGCATATTTTGTCGCAAATCGTGACAAATCGCCGTCGCACCGCTGAGGGCGTACGAAATTCAAGTGTCGTCACGGGTCGCTGAATAATTTTATTTAATGCGGACACCCTCATTACTTATAGAACATTTGTAATTTCTTTACGATATGAACAAATAAATTTCGCTTGTCGTTTCTGCAGTGCGGCCACCGACATATGTTTGTATGAGTTTGTTTTCACGAAACTGTCGTCGCGTCGCAGTCGCCTTAGTAGTGCAGTCGCGGCCTTAAAGTCGCGCGCGTGTGTGAGGGTAGACGATTCAGTGACTGCATCGCGTTTGCATCTCTGCTTAAAATGGGTAACCGCTCCAAGTTTGAACTGTAACGAGTTACACTCTTGGCTATATTTTCAATTGATTGGACAGAAGAGTACGTATTTATATTGCTTAGTTTCGTATCGACTGACATTGCGTGACTTAATCACGCACTAATCCGTTTTCACGCGAACAGATTACGCCGCGATCTCCCGACTAATTACTTTCGCTAGAGCTCCGACCATCATTTTTATATACGTTTATGTGTATAGTTACGCTGCTTCACTACAGGATACTTATATTATGCGTTGACAGTTATTACAGACCTATGTTTGTCTGGTTCTATAACCAGCCCTGGTGAACGGCTAAGCCTGAGATAATGTTTCTGACATGAGTGATAAGGTTTGCAAAATATTTCGAGTAGGAGGATCTCAACCCGCATCACTCTAGGGCGTAACGTCCTCGCGCAATAGAAAACATTAGACGAGAAATGTCACAAACGACAAAATGATTCAAACCCGACTGAAAATCCTTTTATAATGTGTACAGTACAGTGTAGACGAATTTCTTTCAAAAATATTTGTAATTTCATCAGATTATCCCTTGACCCATGTGAAATTTTAATACGGTGACATGAGAATGATGATGAAATAAATGATTCTAGGGAAACGTACGTAAGTGGACGCAAAGGCCCTAGGCATTTTTCATTTGGTGCCTAATATGAAAAACGCTGTGTGCACAGACTTGAACTCTATTTACGCGTAACGAGGGGTTGAAGATATTTTGCGCCATAAAACATTATCTTTGTTGGTTCAGATACGTCCTTTCATTTAATATTTCTTCGCGTAAGTTGGATGGTTTAAACCAACAGTTGCAAGTTATTTTTGAAATACGTGACGGATGAAAAACAATAGTTATTGGTTCGCCATCAATGTTGTGTTTTGGTATACTTCTGACAGTACATTTCATGTGCTTTGAATCCATATCAAAAAAGACTTTACCTGACTGGAAGGTCTCAGCACGAAAGTACCATCCGGTTGTCCTTTTAACAGATTCTCAGCTTCACTTCTTTCTATGTCCATGTAGTAAGGTTCGTTTTCAACTGGCACGGGCAACGGTCTGTCCGCCATATTGGTTTTTCTTTTCTCTGTGGTTTTATGGACATCGATCTTGGTTTTATGGTCATCGGGTGTGAATTTGTGGACATTGATTGGGGGTTTATGTGTATCGGTAAAGTTTTTATGTACATCGATGGAAGGTTTCTGTGCGTCAACTGCGATTTCATGAACATCGTCCGCGTTGGAATCAGATTCCTCTGATTGTACTGTGTCATTGGTTTCTGTAAAAAAATATTTGCATTTAAAATTAATATTTTACAGCACCACGTGCAATTCTTAAATGTACTAAAGTCATAATTACAAATTTAAAGCTTTAAATGCTTAATACACATTTCTTTTTACACGAAAAGAGAGTGAAGTGCTTCACAATTTGTTTCGAAGTGAGACTGTACGTGCTAAAACAATAATGCCGACTCACATTTCAACTGCTAAACAGTTTAATCAAATTATCCACTCACTCGCAATCACTTTATAAAATTGGTATGATGATTGAATTGTATGATTGATAATTCCACAGTTTTTTTACCGTCCCATACAAAATTGCTTCGTGGAATTTCAACTTATCACTATAAAATAGTGGTCTGCTACGCTTCTTACCCTATCTAACACCCATAAATAAAGATACATTATGACTTCGACAACGTATACAACGTACTAAATCAAAACCCCCATTACGTCAAACCTGCGTCGAAACTATTATGTTAAATTAATGATTTCCAAGAAAACACAGTTGATGGGCTATTTGCAGTTGTTACACTTTAGCTTTCTCATTAATGTATTGCATATTTACATATATATGTCAACTAACTGCCTCCGTGGTCGTGGCCGGAGGGTCACCATGCTGGACTGCCACGCAGAGGTCCCGGATTCAATTCCCGGGCCGGGAGAAATATTGTATGGTCTACATTTATTTTTCTCGTGAGTTTAGATGTAATTTGTAGTTGTCTATGTTTGTGTCCATGGCACCCGCGATACAAGGTTTCCCTAGTGCGGGGCTATGAGTGTGTACGATTAAAAAATAAAATAAGTAAGTTCACGTATATTTATTAGTCGATGACGACGGGATTCCGGATACCCGACTCCCCTAAAATCACCAGTAAAATAAATCTTTAAATTCGCTAAAAACCAAAAGAGGCTTTCAAATACCTCTGTGGCAGAACGGTTACCATGCTGGATTGCCACGCAGAGGTCCCGGGTTTGATTCCCGGGCCGGGAGAAATATTTGTATGGCCTACATTTATATCTCTCGTGAGTTTGGATGTCATTTGTGGTTGTCTATGTATGTGTCCATAGCATCCGCGATACAGGGTTTCCCTAGCGCGGAGCTATGAGTGCGTTATTGTGCGTTGTAAAGACTTACAAATGCTGTTTCATGAAATGATATGAATGAAATGATAGTATATATAAATATAGAATAGACATTACAAGTTTCTATACTTATTGAATTTGTCAAAGCTCTTGCCCTCATTTGACTTGGATTTTTTTTGAAGTGTTAACATCATCAAACGTTGTTGTTCTTTCTACTTTGTAGCCAATTATATAAGTGACAGCGACAGTTATCCAGCCCCTAAGTTTGAATAGCATTTTAAGACTCTACAACCGCTATTGTATAAATCACAATAAGGCACCATAAAGCCTGTCTTCATAATACATCGGCAGTATGCGTCCATAATTCGCCCATGCAATTGATACCGCCAAATAGTAGTTGTGTTTACACGAAAATAGGGGAGGGTTCAGTTAACGCATATTGTAACTACACTAATTTACTACCACAACAACGTCATCTCTAATATTAATGATCCAATATTTGACGTCGGTATCACCAATAACGAGTAATATATTGACTATATTTGCCAGACAAGATACGACCGTTTTGAAGTTACAACAAACTTCATAAAAGCGCATTTCTGAGTTTCACTTTTAGTCGTTAACTATGGTACCATATCTATGGTACCAAATCACTACGACCAATACTCCAACTTCCCGAAACGTGACTCTATCAACCATCTTACAATTCAAATCTTGCCTTAATTGTTCGGTACTTTTTCCCGTAACAATGAATTCAGGGATCAAGCGTTGAGGAAACTAATACTAATATTTCCTCTGAAATCCCCAACTCACCTGTGACGACATCGGTGAGGCAATGCACCAACCCGCAAAAGAAATCCACCACACTGTCTGTCAGTCTGACACTTAAGTTGTACATTAGAGGCACACTAACTTTTATCCACCAGCACATTGTTACATTTTATCATTTTCATATATTATCTTGCGTATCTCATCAATACCTTGTATAGAAGCGAACAAAGTTGACGGTCCATTTCTAGAACGTACTAAATCATTGCAGAATGGTTACCATAAAATTTACCAATACAGGTTATGGAATAATAGAAATATTGTAGTTGCTACATACTAGTGCAATTGCCATAATATAATTTTAGTATCTGTTTTGTTAACGTGTAGCTATTTGTAATTAAAAAGGCGACAGTCCACGGCTCGGGAACGATGAATCAAACTCTGAGTCACTGCTTCGCCTGCCAGACTAGTTGCACTCTGAACCTATCACCACTGATCTCAATTACAACACAACATTTATTTTATGGTTTGAATAACACATATTTATTGCTATTAATTTGTGACATCACTATTGTGAAAGAGTCATTTTTTTACGCAAACATCACTGATGTCTTTCAAATGTCTTTTGTTGTTACAAAATTATAATATTGACTAAAATAATTAAATCGTCTTCTCGTATTAACGTCACAATAATAGTACCACACTACAAGCTAATGCTACACGATGCTAGGAATACCTTTGTTAATTAAAGCACTTTACTTTGAAGCTATGTTTAAGATTTTTTTCTAAATCTATCCGTTAAGTAACAGCACTTGAACTTAACTAATATGAGAGTAAACAAGTGTCTCTCTGAAACATTTTATTTTTCTTTGTTAATTTTTTTTTTAATTCTTCGCCGGATAGTTACTTTGTAGTGATGTAAGGTGTTTTTACGATAAAATATCCCAACCATTTAGGTGATTTAGGTAACATTACATTTATAATGAACATGTATTGCGGTAAATAAAAATAACATATTTAAAACTTTCGTTTCATTCGTAACTTTAATAAGAATGCATACATACATATATTCCACGCCTTTTTCCGTTTTAGAAGAATTGTATCAAATAATACACACTTTATAAATATATATGTTTGGATATACGGTCCACTGTATACATCTAGTAATACACGTTGATCCAAACATAAACACCACACCACACCAAAAATAAATCTCGTTTCGGAGGGTTCAGAGAAAGAATTTTGTAGTACGATGAGTAGATTGTACTACAGGTAATTAATATTATAAACCATTGACTTACAAATAAATGGACGACGGGTCTAATACAAAAACCACGAAAAAAATGTCCCAAGTCAACCTATTTAAACGTAGTGACATGTAAAGAAATATGAAAAAGCTAAAACGTTGAATTTAAATTGTAATGTCATCGCAGTACTGTCTAATTTTGCTTGCTTCGCTGTCAGTCGAACAAACGAAGACTAAGGCGTGAATGACGCTCTGTATACGATTTTAACGCCCTATAAGTTCGGACACTTTTTAGCGCGGACCCGACATCCATATAATTGTAAGTCAATGCTATAAACGTAAAAAGTTTGTTTCACCTTAACGTACTCGCATAGTAAGTTCCGAACTAATTACCATAAAATAAGTCCCGCTCTATCGACAAAGGAACTTCACTACACATGTGCGGAGCATATGACACGTTTCTCTTACAAATAAAAAGAAATGATGAGAAAGTTCCTCTGTCACTTGCATATGATGCAACTTATAAACACGGCACACCACTATGAATATGTGATTACAATTATAATAGAGTTTGCTACCCAGAGTAAATGTATTCTGTTCAGACGATATAAAGGTATAAAAATTGTACATCTAAAGTAATGGGTAACTATGAAGTGTACGGTCATTTTGCGATTGCGAACTTATCGCAAGGAAGAGTAAACATTTTTTTGCGAATGAAATTTTTGTTATAGTTAAAGAATTCTCACCAATTCAAATATCAAATATATTTGTAAGAAAAAACTCCATCAAAGCGCACCTCCTTAGGTAAGTTGATGGTTGTCAGAAAGTCAGAAGCAGACTGTAAATCTTTCAATGCTCTTAATACGCTACAAAATTCAAATAAAAATAATTTAATAAACCAATCCTCTCAAGTGGTGAAAAATCCCAACCAGAAAAAAGAAGGAAAGTATAATTCGCCAAGAATCTTGAACTTGTGATCGAATAAATTAGATTACGTCTCAAATATACTTTAAAATAATTGTGTTACTTTATGACACGAACATGAATTGATTTTTTAGAGAGAACAAGTTCGTTACAATAATGAACAAAAACTACATATTATTTATGATTACTTATTATTGTGAACCAATCACGTTCCTCTGAAAAATAGCAATGTACTTAATTGCATAAAACACTAAGAAAACATGAGACTCCAAAAGTTCGTAACAAAAGCAGCGTAAATCTGTATTGTATCACGGAACGAAAGCCCAGGGACAATGGGCGACGTCGGCGGATTGCGAGTCGACACTTATTGGATTTGCTGACTTCATCACGAACGCGAATTAACTCACGCTCGTACACCGCACGAATTTCCAGAAAGTTCCAAAACTTTGAAGACCATTCCAGAATAAAGTAAGATAATGATTTTTTTTATAGAACTGTGCAAAATTTCACGAATACCGCGCGCGTAAGTACTTATGGGTGTGATGGGAATAAACCACGTCAATTGCAGCGTAATTTTTGAAGACATGTTAAAGCGTTAGACAAATAAAGAGTAACACAAGCGTGGGTTGGTCCATTGTAGGAGAATCAAGACCAAGGGACAAGAGCGTCTATTGCTGCGACAGTTTCAGAAAAAATAATTGATTTGATGAGGATAGTTTTCCCAGGCGCTTTAGGTCCTTGGATTGTGGCTCTAGCGGATGTGACCGGCACGTTGGCGGGCGAGTATTTCAGCGTCTACTTTTTATATTTAGTGTCTGACATCAATGATTATATTGATTTTTTTCTTATTTATCACAAGAGTTCACTCCTTTCCCTGGGTAGTATTTAAAGTTGGGCTCCTTGTGGTCGAAAATTACGCGGCTCTGACACGCCACGTCTTTAGATTTAAATTATATGATATTAGTTTCTAGACTGTAGCTACAAAATGTAATTACCTAAGTTTCGTTAGTAGGTCCAATATAAGAATGTTCGAAGAATCGAATAAAATGTAAGAATGTGTAGATATAATTCCATTGTAATATATATTGGAACTACTCCAAGTCGAATACCAGGATTGGTTTATTTTGTTCTCAGGACCAGATAGCCAGTTGTAATGAGAGTTGTAGAGATTTTATTTAGATATGGTTTAACCCTGTGCGCCCTGTGTGTAAACATTTGTATTGTGTTGTATTTTAGTGTTAATGTATTGCATTCTTATACTCGTAACCTATTTAAACTATGATTTTTTTTAACGAACTATTGATTTTCTTATTCAATTTAATATATTATTTTGAAAGTAACAATCTGTATCTTTATAATGAGAAACCGACAATTTTCCGTAGAACGAAATGTAAATTTCAAGTAATCATGAACCCTCAAATAAACAAAACTTGATTAGACCAATCTCCATATAAGCCAATTAAAACCGTGTCAAACATTATACGTCGGGTTTTATTATTCGTTATTATCGCTTCCATCGATTTGCTACGAGCATCAGCTAGCGTTGCTGGAATATCGATTATGCTCTGTGGTCTGTAAACGATTTGATGAAGGTTTATTTCAATGAAATACAAAACACTAATAATTATATTCACACATCACTATATCAATAATAATTAAGGTTTTTTATTGCTTGTCGATATGTAAAAGAGTGAGAGAACCGTGAGCAAATGTCCGATGAGATCAAAAATATAAGAAACACCCGCAAAGAAACGGCGCCAGGAGGCCCTCGGCGGCTAGACTTTTCGGCCCCATTTCCTTTCAAGCATTATCTTTTGATTTGTTGCTGACGGTCGGCGTACTTAATATAGGAAATGGCTTTCGGCAGTAGGCTGGTACATAAATTGTGGTGGTAACATCAAAAGTAGGTAATTTATACATTACGGGAGTAAAATACACACGCCATTCGCCGCAGCGGTCAGTGGAAGGTCCTTATTTTGTATAAAAACCGTCTAGCCACTTAGTCTCTATACAAGTCACTACTATAAATAGTACTCAACAGTCTACCGATACGATAAACAACGTGGAAATGACTCCTATTATATAAATTTCCGTCGAACAAGGCCAAGAAAAATTACTTCCAAGATTAAACCATGGTGGAACTGATAAAGTTATTATACTAGTACGTATTTTTAATGTAAAACAAACACACGGTTGGGCACAGTCTTGCCCGATGTTAAGCGACGAGGACGACGATATTGGCGCAAATATTTGCTTAAAATGTCTATAAATTATCTCACCGCGTCGCAGGCGCAGGCGCTGTTCGAACAGTCCCATGACGTAACTGAAAAGTGACTCGTCTCTCCTGACACTAACGTCGCAATACTCCTTGTTCACTTGCACTGGCTCCAGGTACTCCTCCACTGCCAACGTAGTCTGAAATAAAACACTGGACTTGGGTCTCTCTCTCCTCATCCAATATTTTAGTCGGTAACGAATCTGCTTCATTCAAATTCTCGATCGCGTCCTTAAGCAGCCGATAACGGCTGATGGATGGCGATAGACCGCGTCAACACCCGAACGGTGGTGTTGACGGCCAAATGCCCACGCCACGTACGAATAATTCTAAAGTTGCTAAAAGCACATTCGCATCTCCCGATCCGAGATAATTCATCAATTAATGGGGGGGCTGAATGGGGGCGCCAACAACGCCAGAACAGCCGCATCGACAGAGAATCGGCTTAATATCTGTTCTAATAAATATGATGACTCCGTCATCATTGGACATGACATTAAAAATAAAGTAGGACATTTCATAGGACATGTCAATAGAGATTGCAAAGAATAATTAACAAATTCCTATCAATATTAATTTTGCATCACTATTATCCAACAAAGTCCTATTTTATTTATAAGGATTGCAGGCATTAAAGCATAATTCTCTATTCCATCAAATTTGAAATCCATACTCCGGAATGCATAAATCTAAAACACAGCGATTGTCTCCCTAATCTCACTCTGACACAAGTTTAGCATAATATTGAATACTGGATGAAGTAGTTTTCAGCGTAAGTTTTGTATTTCTATTGTAAAAGAGTTTTCTTTTGAACCCACTATTTTAAAACGTACGTTATTAATGACGTGAAGTCTAGCTTTAAAGTAAGATTACGCTAGCGTAATCCAACTAGATAACTCGTAAATAACTGACATATATGTAACTGAAATGTATGTAGTATTAATAATAGCTCATTTCTTTACGATGTTTATTAAATTTCAGATCGAACGCGCCACTACACCTTAACTATCGAATAGGCGGAAAAAAAGATCAAGCATAAAATTACAAGTATATTATTCTGCATTTGTAACTATAATATCATTTATACTTAAAATATTATACTTGCGCATGTTATGCTGGTATACTTACTTGGTCCTTCAAAGGTTCCCTCTTCTTAGGCGTATCATAAAGTTCTCCTAAACTGTCACTGTTTTCATAAATATGTCCATCTTCTTTTTCGACATTTTTACAATGTTCCAATTTTCTTTCTCCTTCTAATTCTTCGCCTTTTTTGAAGAACGGCAGCTTAATAGACTGAAACATTTCTTGTATTTTGACAATATTGGATTTTGGAGGTTTCATGTCTTTTGAATCATTTATACCTTTCATATTGTCTGTGTAATTCAAATCCTCATAGAAATGTTCTTCGGGGAACATTTCATTTAATTCTTCTGGAGTAGATAAAGTTTTATATTTAGTTCTGTCTTGTTTCTTAAACCTTTTTTCTGTATGATGTTTATTATTTGTCTTAATCGAATAATAACCCCTGTCATTGTAATTTTCGTTCTTAGTCATTCGAAAGTGCTTCATATCAAAGTGGGGATATTCATATGAACTTAATCTAAAGAATTTCTTAGATTTCTTTGGTGTTCCAGCATCCATGGGAACATAGGAGTTTACTAACTTTTCTGTAGTCTTAGTTTGATTTCTGTAAAGGAAACTCTTAGCTGGTACAATTTTCTTTAACAATTCCTCTACTGTAACAGATGTTGACGTTATGTGTTCTTTCTTCCTAGCTGTAACGGTTTGGTACTGTGCTTCAACACTTTCCCCTTCATTAACAATTTCTCTGTTAAATTCCTTTGCTGTTGTTGCTAGGAATTTGTCAGGTTTTTGTTTCAGTTCTTCTTTAAAGTTTATAAGCTTGGTAGCGTTGGCTTTTGGCCGCCATAACTTTATGACGCCTTCTGTAATACCCTGAAAGCGGCAGAACAGTAAATTTAAAACGTATTTAAAAGAAAGAATTTCAGTGAGCAGATTAATCTATCCTTAGTGGTTACGTAGTTTGATCCTTCATAGTTCTAATTTTTGTTTATTGAGTAGAAATAAGAATTACAAATATGTGTGTACGTTATTCATTTATTTGCAACTGAAAAAGGAATTCATTGTATAACTTATAAAGACTGTATTAAATAAAATAAAATCGGTTATCTAACAATGTTCAAAACCAGTCACGAAACGCGAAAGTTAAACCACTTTTCTCTTCCTTTCTACCTTCCAAATTATAATCTTTAAAGTTTCAATCATGAATCTTAGGGAATCCACGACACCTAGTAAGTATACTTTATTGGAATTGCTCAAGTTCGTAAGTAGGTTTAAATAAATTTTAAAGTTTTCTCCTTGAAATGAAATGCAAATAGTTGGGAGTTTGGGTGAAATATTCGGCTACGCGATTTCACTGCGGTCGGTAGTAACAATCATTGCTTAAATTAATAGTTTTAATTGAACTTTGGGATATGACGCGTGCTATTGCTTGCGAACAGGAAGCGTGATTTTGAATAGTGGGTATGTTGAATCTCTTAAACTGGTCTCGACATGAGTAATAACACCTTGCTCGTCGGTAATATAAATAGAATAGAATCATTTATTTCATGTTATTAATGCCACCATATTACATCAGTGTAGAGAAAACACACCTTTGCAATACACCTTTTATAGTCATATCTCTTGTAAAATACGGAATGCCTTGCCTCCTCCTTTGAGAGTGGCACTCTGATAACTGTTACCGACTTTCAGATGAAAATTTTCACAGTCGCTATTTCCCGTATCCTTGGATGAAGATTTCTTATAATTTATGCCTTGTGTGTATTATTGCTCTTGAATATTTTGGAGTTTTAATTGTATTGTAATAATTATATTTGTTTGTGTAAAATTATAATGTATTACACAAATGAAACAATATTTTAATTATTTCTCGTTTTAGTTTGATTCGGCCTGTGATTTTTGTTCTTTTGTGTGTATTTCCATTATTTGTATTTTTTTTATTAGTTATCGTTTTTAAGTATTTATTTTTACGTTATTTTCGCAGTTGTGTTCTCTAGTAATTAGTAGTTTTCATAGAGTCACAAACCTAATTGATATGTAGATTCGTATTTTCTTTTCTTTGTTGT